ACCTTGCTCCATCACTTGGCTTGGACCACCTTGTCTAATTCACACACTTAGATCAAAGGTTAGTCCTAGGTTTCATCAATTATCCAAAACCAAACTAGGGCTTTCAATTGGTGCTGGTGCTGGGTGGTGCTCACGTGTAGCCGCTCATCGCTGGCTCCCACCCCGTCGGCCAGAATCGACCGGTCTAGGCCTCTCTCCCCCCACGTTACAAATGTGTGTTTCAATTGTTTCAGACGTTTTAGAGGCATGTTGCAATAGTTTCATATGGATGTTGCAAAAGTAGATCGGGGGATGTTACACATGTTGCAAACGTTTGTTCAAACTATTTCATCTATTTCCAAACGTATGTTGCAAGCGTTTGATCTGGATGTTGCATATGTTTTCACACATATGAAGTGTTTTCAGGAGTTTTTTTTTGCAAGTGTCTCATATGCATGTTTATAGTGTTTCATCTGTTTCGTATGTATGTCGTAAGTGTTTTATCTAGATGTTTTAAAATAGATTTGGTGTTGCAGCTATTGTTTCCGATGCATATTTCATGTGTTTCATCTGTCTTCAGACGTATGTTCCAAGTGTTGTATTCGGATGTTTCAAAAGTAAATGGGTGTTGCATTTCTGTCTTTGTTTTTTTGTTGTCTCACTTTCGCCTCGGTGTCTCTTTTCGTCCTCCTTCCGGCGCCGGCTAGGCATCCATCATCCTCTTCTCCTCTTGTGGATGCTGGTGTAGCCACCTGCTGCAATTTGCTGGCCTTCCTATATGTACTAGTAATCCAGTATCCAAGGATTGTACTGATCCACAACGTGCAGAGTGGAGACGTTATTGGATTGGATGCAAAGCAAAGCAAGAATATGCGGGACAAAGAACCAGATCATGTATTCATGTCTCTCCAAAAGGTATGCACGACAATTCCAAAGGCCTTATTCCTGACAACCATACACCTTTTCTTGGTGTCTAAAACTATAAATCATACCGCTACTAACGGGCTGCCTGCCATGAAGGATATGGTTCCATGCTGAATCACTGCCTGGAGCACAGAAATACTCAAATAAAACTGATATTATAAAGTTGTTCCGGAATGCAGACCCGGTGGCATTTCAGCATATCTTTCACTAATGTTCTAGAGCAGAGGGGCGCACCTCGGTGCTGATTTTTTTGATAAAAAAGCCCAAGATCCGGTGCTAGGGTTGCCAGCTTACAACGACACACGAAAGGTCTTACCAGAGAACAAGTTATCTAAAAAAAAAAAAACTCAACCACCAACTCGACACAGAACTCAACAACCTCAAAACCAGAAAAAGTCTGATAGAAGGGCGCTACTAGTAAACTAGCTAAAACGCCAACATAGCACCAGCTGAAATCAAGTTAATCATTTCATCCGCCATTGGCTTCAGCTTCGGCTTTAAGAGCTGGCTCCAGGACTTCACCAACATCAGAGTTTTGTAGATAACCGCGCTAGGGGAAGCTAGCACCTTCTTGTTGAAAACGACATCGTTTCTGGTCTTCCAAATCGCCTTGGTACTGATTGAGCTCCGCCATCTCTGGACTTTCCAGATTGACCAATATAATATTGTTCAAGCCGTGCCATTGAGGTGCAACCTGCTAAGTCTGCGATTTCTGCATGCCCTGCCAACCCGGATCCAAAAGTTGATGGTGCCTCTGGGCCCGAGTGTTGGTGGGCTGAATACAACAACGGCCACCGGGCAACTTGTTGGCAAAGTAGTCAGCCTATTTTCACATGGATCCCGTTCGGATGGTATGGTTCTGGAAGAATTTAGATGGTTTGGAGGAATTGAGAAATTTGTGAGAGAAAAACACTGTTTCGGATAAAAAAAAAAGCGGATCAAGCCGGGTTCAAAGACACGCGAACGTGGCCATGATGAAGAGTAGCCCAATCAAGTGGAGCAACATTTCGTTTCAAAAAAAATTGAGCAACATTTTGTGTTTTGTCAAACTAAGACGATACCATGTAATAAATCAAATCTTCCTAAAAAATGTAACAAATCAAATTCTTATAGCATTATAAAACACCATTTTCCTTCCAATCTGCTACTGAGAAGTGAGAACTACACCTGGAGAAGTCTGCTCCGCAGCTTGCTGTGACGAAGATCTCCACCTTTAGGACCTAGCGTGCTGAGCCTGACCTTCTGCAAATCTCAGCAGGCAGTAGCTGCGTACTCCCTCCGTTCCAAATTATAAGTCGTTTTAATTTTTCTAAGTACATAAATCTTGCTTTGCACCTAGATATATGTTATATCCAGATACATGACAAAAGGAATATAACTAGAAAAACCAAAACGACTTATAATTTAGAACGGAGTGAGTAGCATAGATATACAAGGAGTTTGGGCTGGCAAAATAAAACCTCAACTCAGACTTAAAATCACACGTGAGCAAAACCAGATTCTGTAATTGTTCAACTTGGAATACACAAAAGTAGGATCTAACTGTTGATATTGATCCCAAATGGTAGAAAACATAATGCTTCAGTTCCACTGTAACTCTAAGCAAATCAGTACTACTTTTCATATGTCAGAATAATGCATAATGTCTGATGCGTCAACTTGGCACAACTGGAGTGGTGCAGACACCAGGATGTTCTAGAACCACTAATTTCTATGCTTATTTTGAAGCAACTAGGTCCATTGGAACACACAAGATCTAATCCTTTGAGAAAACAAGGTGCGATATGCCGATATCCAATATCAACAAGCCTTGACTATTGTACCCAAGACAGCGACCTAATTTGAGCATCTATTGAGTGGTAGAAATCACAAGTACAGACAGTTACTACAGGCAACCAAGTTCCTGTTTTACTGAGGGGTAAGTACACACTGCTCAGAAATCTTTATAAGTACAGGGAGAGTTTACCATGGGACAGCCAAGTTCCTGTTTTACCATAACAGAAGAAAAGGACATACACTCGTCAACAGGAAAGATACTGTAAGGTTGAACTTATAGCAGATTACGGTTTACTAGATCTCCAAGGAAATTAACTAAGATCCTGTAATCCCTTAGGATAGGAGGAAGAACTAGCTTTGTATCGAATATGCATTGGAGATTATATCCCTTAATGATCATTGCAAGATTTGAGGGATGACTTTTAGTTCAATGAATTACTAGCAGAAGGTTATGATCAGGTTCTAACTGTAAATGATTATTAAGCGGTTTGAGGGATGACCTCTGGTTCCCGAAATTATTACTAACAGATAGAAGAATATGGTCTAATTTGGTTGGCAACTTCACTGCCTTCACAATAATACAGCCTGACACGGTCTGCAGCCCTCAGGCTCAAGGTGCAAAACTGCAGACACAAATCAGATAGGCAGAAAATGCAACTACCTGTGTTGAATACTATTAGCCAACCAACGGTTGGTAGTTGTATACATGCTGAAAATATGATAAATTTATGTTTGGTGAATTATCCTTACAATGCAAAAACACAGCAAGTCTGGAACATCTAATCCCTCTGATTTAATTTAAAATGTGCCGTTTTAGGATTCCCGCCGATCATAACTTTTTAACTTTAACTATCAATCAAGACATAAAAGACTAGATAGATTGACAAACTTTTAAGATAGATGTTACTAGATTCGTCATGAGAAGTACTTTCAAAATATTTAGTTACATTGATTTGAAATGTCATATTTTTAAAGAAGTTGTTGGTCAATTCACCATGTCCATGTAGACAATGTTGATGTACTAAATGACATGTATTTTGAATCAGAGATGGAGTACTGCCCAGATGACAGAGTCCAGGAGAGTGAGGGGCGTTCTGAGTAAATAGTCTTTAGAGTTTAGAATCAGATTCCCTCTCATTCTCCTTACTCAATCCCCTTGTGTAAGAAATAAGCACTACTTATACTAAACGGTGCAAAAAAAAAAAAAACTGAACAAATAAACACAAAACACAAGCTAACCAAGAATAATACTTACTATTTGTACCCTGTTCCATATAATTCTGTTTAATCACAGATACCAAGGTTTAAGTGTTTACCCAAAAGAACAGAATTTGGTACATAAAAAATAATCAGATCTGAGAGTTACTTTTCAGATACAGAAATCCCTAGTTTTGAGATTCAAAAGATCACATGTGATGTCATGTGATTTCAACCGCTGCCTTCCACACTGTTTGATACTTGGACATTAATCGGCAAAGCAAATAACTAAAGTTAAACAGAAAAACATCTAAAGAAAAAGGTTTACCAAAATGTGAACTGACCAATTTGGTAACTAAACACTCCCTCTGGACAGACAGAATGATGGCAAAATTATACCAGATGTCCTTCCAGAAATGAATGGATAAGAAAACATGTGAAAGTTGATGAGAACGAACTACAGCCACATCGTTACTGGCAGAGAAAAGTTGCTTATATAATATACTAACATTAAAATATTTTTCTCGACAGAGCAGCAGCAATTCTAGTGAGTGTTCCAACCAAACAAAAATGTTGTACAGACATGCGTCACCTCTCGGCAAATGATTTTTTCTCAGATAAGAGTGACTACCAAAAAAAAAAGTTTGTGGTAGTAAAGCATACTTATTTACATAGTGAACATGCAAAACAAATTCAATGAGAGGTTATTCTAAGATTTAGTCTCTTCTAGATGTTACAATGCACCACATTCAGTTATTCAATTCACAAAACCTCACTGTATCAGAGAACAAATAGCATAACATCGAATAACGAAGGCTGCATCAGAAAGGATATCACTTTACACACTTAACTCTGTCCTTGGAGTTTTATTCATAAGGAATGTGACAAATTCCAACACACACCCCTATGGATATACAGATTTGTTCATTCATCAGTCACAATGTACCAGTATCCAAGCATGGCACACTTAGCTGACAAAATGATTGATCATAAACACTAGGCTTCTACAATACAGTTCATCGCAGACAAACCATAGCACACAACAAAGAAGAGCACATCACTATTTGGTACATCACCATTACTAGCGATACAGAAGAAGAGTAATCGACCGTGGAAAATTGCTCTCAAATGGTGTAGTCCGACCATTGACGTATGAAGGACGTGTGATCCATGGACTTCCCCGGCATGTCCTCGTCATTCTCGCCCTCGGCCTTCTTCCCACCAATCAGCCTGGCAGGGTTCCCAACCGCCGTGCTCCTCGCCGGCACATCTATCAGCACCACGGATCCGGCCCCAATCTTAGCCCCGGCACCAATTTTCACGTTCCCAAGAATCGTGGCCCCTGCTCCAATCAGCACGCCATCCCCAATCTTGGGGTGCCGGTCACCCACCGCCTTCCCAGTCCCACCCAAGGTGACGTGGTGGAGGATGGAGACGTTGTCGCCGACGACGGCCGTCTCACCGATGACGACGCCGGTGGCGTGGTCGAGGAGGATGCCCTTCCCGACGACGGCAGCGGGGTGGATGTCGACGGCGAAGACGTCGGCGACGCGGGACTGGAGCGCGAGCGCGAGGGGCCGGCGCTGCTGCTCCCAGAGCACGTGCGCGACACGGTGGGCCTGGATGGCGAGGAAGCCCTTGTAGTTGAGGAGGCAGTGGGAGAAGCCGACGTAGGTGGGGTCACGGGAGCGGGCGGCGAGGAGGTCGGCGACGACGGTGGTGCGGAGGGACGGGTGCGCGGTGAGCGTGGCGAGGAAGAGGTCATAGAGGAGCGTGGAGAGGAGTGTGGAGGAGCAGAGCTTGTTGGCGAGGTGGAAGGAGAGGGAGCGGGGCAGGGACGGGTGGGACAGCACGGTGGCGTAGAGGAAGGAGGCGAGCGCCGGCTCCGCGTCCGCGTCGCGGCGGGCCTCCGCCTTGATCTGGGTCCACACCCAGGTCTCGTCGTCCTCCGACTCCGGCGGCGGGTACGCCGGCACCACCTCCGCGGGGAGCGGCGTTGGCGAGTGGGCCGGCAGTCGGTGGTTGGAGTGGTTCGCGGCGCCACCACCGCCGCCGGCGGCGACCTCGTGCGCGTGCGGCTGGCCGGCCGGCATCACGGGGCGCGCGGAGGGATTGGGTGGCGGGACCGTGACGGAATGACGGATGGGCGGAGCGAGGCGAGGAACGCGGGCCACTAGCGAGCTACGGCCGGTGGTCCGTTGTCGACTGCGGAGTATATATGGGCACGCAGCCTAAGCCCGTCAGCCCGACACGGGGAGTCCCGTATTTTTGCCTGGCCCAAGCACGGTCCGCCCGGTGGCCACGGGACCGGGCTGGCACGACTCGGAGGAGCAGGCCGTGTCTGAGCCTCACCGGGCCAGCACGGCACAACCCGTTCCTCAACGGTAGGTCCAGTGGTGGTCTGGAGCCACCAACAGCTCTTTGCCTTCCCCGCAGACCGCATTTGGCCCAGCCCAAGAAATCGCCGCACCCCCCCGCTCCATATATAACCAAGCGCTGTGGCATCCCTCTCTCCCTCACCCTAAACCCTAACTAGAAGCCCTCCGCCTCCTGCCATGCCTCTCTCGCTCCGTAGCCGCTCTCTGTCACTCGCTCGTCGCTCCTCGTCGATCCAACTCCGACCGTCGACCATCGCCATCGCCCCCAACTCCGGTGACCTCGCCGCTCTCCCACCTCTCTCTGAGTCCCCTGATCCCCTTCTTTCTCCCTATCTCTCCCATGTCCTCTCAGTGACCATGTGAGTTTGCGTCCTCGTCGCTTCCTTCCGCAGCCGCTCGCCGTCCTTGCTAATTCGTTCTCGTTGCCTCTGTGTGGCCCTCGTCTTCTCCGACGTCGGGCTCCGGTTGCGTAGGTAAGAGCTAACCCTAACCCTAACCCTTTCATCCTTCTGAGTTCTGACTTTCTCCTTTTGTAGGTCGGTTGTCGATGCCTCGTCCTCTAGCTGCGGCATAGAGCGGGCAAGGCGGCCGCGCGCACCTTGAGGAACGGGACTAGAGAGCTACCGTCCGCAGCCGAGGGCCCGATGGCGGATGACGATATCATCTGTCTTGTCACTGGCAATGAGGACCTAATCGTGGTAGGGTTGTCCCTCGAGTGCGACGACGACGTCCGTGACGCAGCAGCAGTTGTTGGTGTCAACGTCGGTAGCGGCCCTGCTCCGATCGATCTGGATGACTGTGATGCAGGGGCGGCGGCGACAAGGCGGCGGTGCCCTCCAACACCAACATCACATATGGTAATGGTACTCCAACCTCTTCTCTGCTTGGTAAGCACAAGTCTGCTGTCTGGACTAATTTTGAGGAGATCTATGAGGAGGTGAATGGTAACAAGATTCGAACTATTGCTATCTATAGAATGTGTAAGGCTATTTTGAGTGCTAGATCTATTGTTGGTACTGGTCATTTGATTAGACACCAAAAATCTTGTAGAAAAAAGGTTGATAATGCGGCTAGGGTTCAGTCTAGGCTTACTTTTAGTCCTGATGGTTCTGTGCATAACTAGAACTATAATCCTGTTGTATTTGCTTGGGGGCTTGAGGTCAACAATGGAGGGAGAGAGAGAGCTCCTTTTCTCTTTGGGCATGCTGGAATCAGCAGGAGAAAGGAAAGAGCCATTGGGGAGGAAGAGGATGGGTATAAATACCCCCTTAGCCCCAACGACCACTTAAGTGCGGCAGTGCCGCACTACGGCAGTGCCTCTCTTCAAGTGCGGCAGTGCCGTACCACGCAAGATAGTAAGGGTAAAAGTGAAGTGTAGACTGTCTTGGCTGTGAATCTAAGAATGCATGTATATGTTTGAGTACTTAGTAGCACATATTAACTTAAGCATTGTGTTCCCCTTTATAATATGGCTTTTCATATACTCAAATTGAAAACATAAAAGAATTTAAACCTTCTTTGAGTTTGAAGCCATCTACAATTGTAATTGGGGGTTCCTCCGTTTTATGTAGCATTCTCAAACATGAATTCCCTACTTGTCATCTCGATAAATCTCATTAGTTCTCTAATTGCGTGGTCATTATCACCAAAACCCATAATTAGGGTATGATTGCACTTCAATCTCCCACTTTTTGGTGATTGATGACAGTCTAATTAGAGCTTACAAAAGTTATGAAATAAATACTGAGATTTTTAAGCCATGGGTGTAGAGCCTCCCCATAAGTATGTGAATAGAGAATTGAATTCTCAAATTGACATAAGAAGCCAAGATTCACATTTTAGTGAAAGTGATGGGGCTCCCCCTACATCCATGCTCCTGTGGGGTGCTGCATACTGTGTCAGGTATGTAAAACGTGATGCAAATGACAATTTATGCACAACATGGTTTGCTATTGCAGCTGGGTGCGGCACTGTCGCACTTGCTGTAACAACATAGATCAGAACAGACACCACACAACATGTGATACATATAAAGATATATATTCTAGCACAATTGTATCATAAGCGACAGCATAGATTAATATATGTCCATATCCCACATATATAAAAAGTACTTAAGTAGCATTATTACATAAATAGAGTTTCTAAAGGACTCTCAAACTCTTACCTAACGAAGACTACTCTAAACGGATACGAACATGACTTCTAGCTGCAGCAACCTCCATGGTGTGAAAAAAGTTGTTGACCCCTCTAATTTTCTTCCCCTTTGGCATAAAGCACCAAAAAGATAAGAAAAGAAGAAAAACCAACACTCACTCCTCATCCTCTTGGATGGTGTCCCAATCAACATCATTCCCACCAGTAGCTCCACTAGAACCTGCAACAGCCTCCTCTCCACCATCATCATCGTCATCGTCGGAGGAGGAGAAAGAAGAAGACACCATCGCCCTCCCTTGGCGATGAGTGGTCGAAGTGTGGCGCTCACGCCTGGTGCTTCTCCTCATGGACTAAAAGGTGGACCTCAAACTCATATGAGTATCAAGCTCTGGCTTCTCCTGCTCCTCTTTCTCATCATCATTCTCTAAATCTATCTCAGAAAGACTAGGGAGGTCATCAAACCTCGATGGTGATTGAACTAGAGAAAGAGGTGGCAGAGCCCTGCACGCTCTTTAGCCTCCCGGTTGGCTTCACGATTCTTCAACTAGTCCTGATATGCGGTCCTCGCTACATAAGTGCAAGTGGTGAAAATGGCCTTAATCCATCTCCCAAACTTCTCCATCTTCTTTTCCCTACGAGGCCTAGATCGAGACGATTCAGGCACGTCCTCAACTGATGGAGAGCGTCTCACTGCCCTGCTAGCACCTGCTCCTCGGGTCTTCTCAATTTTATAGACAGTGTGAAGACCATCTTTCTCAAATATATAGCCAATGACCCTCTCAATCATAAACATGAGATAAGGGGGCATATGGCATTTTTTTATTTTTAACACTCTTTTTAAACTATTTTTAAAACTGACGCTTTTTTTTTTCAAAACTAACACTTTTGGACGCGCCAACTGACATGGTGTGGCCAAACCACTCTACCGCGCCATGCATGGAGGCGCGGCCAGGCTGCCACTGTGGCAGCGACCGGTGACGTGGCCCAACTCTGTCGCGCCACAGATCACGGTGCGACCCCGACGCGCCATCGCGCATGGCATGGCAGGCCCCAGTAAAGGCCCACGACGTGGCTCTCTCTCTCTCTCCATTCCTTTCTTTCCCTTTCACACGCCCACCGCTAGACGCTGCGTCCTTTGCCCGCGCCCGCCACCGACAGCCGCTGGTCGCACCCTCCCTTGTCGACCCCCTCCCTACCTTCCCCGAAGCTCCTCCTCGGCCTTGTCAAGGTAATGAAGCTCTTCCTCGACCTCAATGGTGGATCGAAAGATTTGAATGAGTAGTTAGGGTATCGAGGAAAATATGAGTTTGTTAGAACGTTGGATTGAAGGATTATGATTGCCAATGTTAAAGTTAATCGATTAGTTAGAATTATGATTACCATGTATTCTAAGGTCAATTTTTATAAGAATTTTGCTTGTTTGAGTTTGCATCTCAACTTTTATATGTGAATAAATATATGGACACACTGTTGATGTACCAAATTTTATTTTTTATTGACCAAAGTATAGTTTTTATATAGTTTTCATGTTTGCATCTAAGATAGAGTTTGCACCAAAGTGTAGATTATATTTTATTTGTTGTAATGCAAATGGTTCTCATTGATATTAATTTGTGATGTTTTGATTTTTGTTTGTTAAATTACAACCGTTTTGTTAGATGTAAGAAATGTATTAGGAGGAGTTTTGGCGAAAACGGGGTCGTCCTCGAGAATTATACCCTGACACGTCTAGCAAAGATGCCCGCGTCCCTCCTGACCTCTCTGTCCCTAACTGTGATTATGGTTTTCCGGCCGACGTGTTTCAATCGAGACATCCAGACACAGCGCCGCGTTGCTTCTACACATGTAGTTGTTTTAATGTAAGTAATTATTTTCACTATCTTTTTTTCTTCATTTGTGTAAGTAGGCTACTAATATTTTGTTGGAATCTTGTTGTGTAGGGCCATGAGAGGTGCTTTTTCTTTCAGCGGATCAACGGTGCAGACAAGTTTGACCCTAGGTACCTCCTTTTCAACGATTGGCGTAGAGGGAGACATCCACGTGAGCACTTCTAGTAGTGGGTTCCACCCTCCCTAACCCCCTGCCAATGACGGCTAAGGAGAAGCACCTAGCCACAGTTAGACGACTCGAGGAACCTCCTCTGTGCGAATGCGGAGATCGAGCTGTGATAAACTCTAAGAATACGTTAGAGTTTGTGTGTCCGAACAAACACGAAGTAAGTGGAAAGTGTATCTGTTTAAATGTTTATCTCTATATGTGTGCGTGTACTAATGTATTCTCTTGTAGCGTTATGGATTTGTGAATTGTCGTTTCAATGAGTGGCTCTATGGTCCTAAGAATCAATGGCCGGAGCCACCAAAGGCAAAGGAAAAGAAGAAAGAAAGTTAATTTACAAAGCACCTCCAATCTTGCTCATTGCATCCAACGCCGTCAATGGATGGCCTATCCAGGACACCCTACATCATGTACCCATTCTCCACCACCACCTCAGCCATGGACACCTTGGAACCTTAGAGCACCCTATTGTAGCGGGACCAGTGAGCAGGGTCGCGTAAGGG